TGTCTTCTATGGTAATAGGAAAAGGCTATATAATATCCGCGTGCATATATATGGTATATTTTAGTGTAAGAGTTTGTTTAATTAGACAACTTGAATGTTTCCATGGTCGTTTTAACATCACATGTTGAGACGCGAATGTGAGTTTCGACGACAACGTCATCATTGTGAGAGAACGAGGATGAATCAACTAGCAAGCAGGTTGGTACAAGTAGGAAAACCTAAAAGTGTTGTACCCCATATTGTCTACCCCACTATAACCTAAAAGTGTTGTACCCCATATGACTTTCACACACCCCCATCGGCAAAGTGGGGGAAAACAAGAGGTCACAAGACCAGTCAAGCAAAGCAAAGCAAGCTCAGGGTGGATCACAACGTCACCACACAGTCCGAGCACAAGAGCAAGGCCACAAGGCCAGTTCACATGCAAGATCATATATAAAGGTAAACAAGCAAGTGCAGGTATAGAAAGATCACAGTACAAGAAAGGTCAAGAAGTGAGCAAGTGAGGCCAAATAGGCATAAGACCTAGCATTGTACAGAAGCGCTGATGATCACAAGGCGGAAGTGCCTTGGTAAAGATATCAGCAGTGTTGGCCTCAGAGGCCACGTAAGCAAGGCGCAGTTGACCACGCTGCTGCAGCTCAAGAGCAAGAAAGTAGCGAAGAGTAATGTGCTTCGTTCTGTGCTCCAGTCTGTGCTCCCGACACAAGGCCAGCATGGCCTTGTTGTCTACGTACAGAAGTGGAGGAGAATGAGGTAGCTCTCCTAGGTCAGTCAGCAGGTAGGTGAGCCAGCGAAGCTCCTGTGCAGCCATGGCCCCCGCGTAGATATCAGCCTCATAGCTGAAGCCGAGAACAGAAGACGAGCGGGTAGACCGCCACAAGACAGAGACGGAGCCAAGGCTGAAGGTGTAACCCTGTGACGACCGCTGCGTAGCCTGTTCGTCAGCCCAAGAAGCGTATGCGTGAACTGTGAGGACCACTCGACGTCGCCCTCCAAGCACTAGCCCCATGCCCGACGTACTGCACAAGTAGCGCAACACCCTCTTCGCGGCAGCCATGTGCTCTGGTCCGTGTCTCCCTGGAGCAACATAGCGTGCCAAGATGCTAAGAGGGTATGCAAGGTCAGGTCGTGTGCAGGTCATCAGGTACATGAGGCAGCCAACAAGCTCTAGGTACGGGCCACTCGGCTCTACGGACTCATCCGAAGGCAGAGCTGAGAGCGAGTGGCGAGTAGGCAGAGGAGTGGCCTGAGGCGCGGAGTGCGTGAAGTCGAAGCGCTGAAGGACCAGCTGCACCATGTGTGACTGAGTCAGGGTAATGGTGCGCTGTGCTCTGTCCCGTGTGATCTCCAAGCCAAGGTAGCTGCGCAGTTCACCCAGGTCTATGCACGTGTGTCTATTCTGCAGCTCGGAATTCACGTGGGCGAGTCCAGCAGTGTCAGCAGTGGCAAAGACCAAGTTGTCAACGCACATGAGGATGTAGAACGGCGGCAAAGAGGTGTCGGTGCGCAGAAACAACGATGGATCGTTAGTAGAAGGAGCAAACCCAAGAGCCGCAAGTGTAGTCCTCAGTGTGTCGTGCCACTCACGGGGCGCCTAGCGGAGACCATAGACTGGCCGCCGGAGGTTCCACTGGGTACCACGGGGAAAGGACCTAGTGAAACCAGGTGGGCAGCGCAGCCAGATCTCCTCGTGCAGGCTGCCCTACAAGAAAGCTGTGCTGAAGTCAAGACAGTGAAGCTCATAGTCGCGCTGAGCAGCTATATCCAGCAGCACCCGAAGAATGGTCATCTTCGGGGTGGGAGAGAAGGGCTGAAAGTAGTCAACTCCCTGCCGCTGACTGAAGCCTCGAGCGACGTAACGCGCCTTGAAGACAGGCGGAGAACCCGGCGGCCGCTTCATCCTGAAAATCCACATGCCACTAACGATGTTCGCCCCAGGTGGGGGAACCTTGTCGACGTAGGTGACTCTGGACTTCGAGGAAGCCATCTCTGCGCCCATGGCCAACTGCCACTGTGAGGAGTAGGGACCCTCGATCGCCTCAGCGTACGATCGAGGAGTCGGGATGTCTGTTGCATCCTGGTCTCCCTCAGGGGCAATCACCGTGGACACGAGATGGGGCAAAGCAGCAGCAAAACAATGGAACTCCTCCTGCCTGTCCTCAAGGACGTCCATGCCAAGAGCACACTCACCCCCAACAGACGGAGGACAGACAGACTCAGACTCAGTAACGAGACTAGTGGCGTAGTCTAGATGACAACGAGCAGCAAAGTCGACAAGCTCAGCAACTAAGGTAGACGCAGCAGTGGACTCAAAGGAAGGGTCAGTGACAACAGTGGCCAGGAAACTCGTAACAGTAGGACTGGCAGCACAAAGAGAGTCAGACTCCGGGTCAGCGAGAACAGGGAGAGAGGACTCTTGAGGAGACGGCAACGGGACATGCAGAGGAGCAGTGGAAGGACGCAGTGCCATCTGGTGTGTGCGTGGGACCGCAGAAGGACGCGGACGCGGAGCATGACCACTAGTGCGAGCAGTACAAACAGGCGACGCAAGACGAGACGCAGGCTCACGACGCTCAGCAAGACCTCGAGTAGGACTAGTGTAGGGAGAAGGAGCAGGTAGGGGGGAGGCGGGCTGTAACTATGACTGCGATTGGACAAGCTGTGGACACTCCAGCAGGACCAGTAGAGGGTGGGAGACCAAGAACCTGCTCAAGGAGCGGAACGAAGTACGGCCGCGGCCGCGCAGCGCCTCCAGAACCAACAGGGACAGCACCAGTCCCCCCAGCATGAGCACCAGCACCAGCAGCACCTCCAGCTCCAACAGCGCCAACTCCAGCACCCTTAGAAGCACCAGTGCGAGCAGAACCACCAGCACCAACACCCCAAGCCACTCGTGCTCCATCAGCTCCAGCAACAATTACTCCAACAGGACGGCCAGCTCCACCACTATCTCCACTAGGACTAACTCTAGCTGCCCCAGGAGCAACCCCAGTCCCAGCAGGTCCTGTACCGCTAGTACGAGCACCTCTAGGACTAGCAGCAACAGTAGTACCTCCAGCTCCAGCACCACGGCTCCAGCGCTGGGCAAACCACACGCGCAGCTCCTGCGGAGAGAGTAGCTCCCGCCTCGACGAAGCACCGCCAGATGCCACACGAGCAGACCCAGCACCCACAGGCTCCGCACCCCCAGGCTCACCAACCCCAGGCTCCGCACCCCTGGGCTCACCACCCCCAGACTCAGCACCCCCAGGCTTCGCACCCCCAGGCTCAGCACCCCTAGACCCGGAACCCGCAGGCTCAGTGCCCCTAGCAGCACTAGAGTCAACAGCTACCTCAACAAGCTCGACTGCGTCTACCTGGGACACACCTGGCGGGGCAGGACCCTGAGGGGGGAGAGGGTCTACCGGGGGAGGACCTGGCGCAAGGAAGAGTGGCGGCGGGGGAAGGGGCGCAGTGCGGTAGGGGAAGAGAGAGTAGTAAGGCACCGACTCGCCAAAGGTGACGTCCAGGGAGGACAGGCGCGAGTTGGAGTGGTAAAACTACCAACGAGGCGCGTCAAGGGGGAAGTTAGGGAAGACACAAAGAACAGCACAGGGGGACAGCTTGTCCGCAGACAAGTCGCGAAAAAACGCCCGAGATCCCCACAGCCGAAACGTAGACGCATCGCGAAGGTGGGGGAGGTCTCTGGCAAGGAGACCCGGGGCTGAAGGTTGAGCTGATGCGCTGTGTACTGAACCGCAAACGGCCATAGAAAATGGGGAGCAGCCGCATGGATCATGGACGTACGAGCGACGTCCATGACCATGCCAATGCGGCGCTCAGCAATCCCATTTTGCTGTGGAGAGGCCGGAAGCATGAGAGTCTGGCGAATGCCCTGTGCATGACAGAAGGCTCTTAGACGGGCAGAGGAAAACCCCCCGATTCTGTCAGAGTGCAGACTTAGAAGAGGAAGATTCGAGTTGAAACTCTCTCTGAGCTGGAGACCAGCTGCGCGGATCCAGTCGATCAACACCTCAGTGACGTCACCCTTGCTGCACAAGGGGAACACCGTGGTGTAACGCGAGTAGTCGTCAACCACCAACAGGAAGTAACGCTAGTGACCCTGGCCATGGACGCGGGCTGGGCCCCCCACGTCCATGTGAAGAGTCTGCAGCGGAGCCTCTATCAAAGAAAACTCGGAGGAGTGAGGGGCGGCGCGCTGCCGCCCCTCGACGCAGGGAACGCAGGTAGGGGCAGGCCTCGGAGGGAGGGGGGGGAGGGACCGGGGGAGACCAGAGACAAGGACACGGGAGGCCATGCCTCGGAGACGAGGCAAGGAGGGGTGACCAAGGCAGTGGTGCCAAAGGAGAGTCTGGTGGGACAGGAGACGATACTAGTAGGGAGCAGACTTAGGACCAGACCTGGACGTTGCAGCAAACACCAAACTCGACGCAGTTAACTGACCAGACTCAGCAACCGGAGTAGACTGAGTAGTCAGTGTGTACAGGCTCGACCCCGGCTGACGGGTAAAGGTGGCCAAGTGTCGGCCCGTCCGAGCATGTGTACAGTGGGTCACCCGCTGACTTGTAGGATTCAACTGGTCAACCCCCCGATCCTGTAGATCAGCACCACTCACCAATTTCGTAGAGAACGAGGGCAGGTAGAGACCTGAGAGGGTGCCAGAGGGGGCTGCCGGACACAGTAAGGGAGTGGAGAAGTGAGTAAGGACAGGACCCCCAGAGGGGTCCGCCGGGGAGACCGCAAGTGGCCGACTAAGCGGCGTAAGCATGGTGTAGTCTCGAAAGAAGGAGCGGAAAGCACCCGAGTCAAGGGTGAAGGTGTGTAAGGCCTGAGCCAATGTGGTACCTCTGAGAGCAGACTCACGAGCACCTGTGGCAGCAGACACCCTAGCACCTTGAGCAGCAGCCTCACCAGCACGTAGAGCAGCAGCCTCAATGCCCGGGTCAGGCGGAACACACAGGTAACAGTCATCTTGATCACTAGTGGGCAATGCATACATGGCAGTGAGGATAGTTTCATTGTCAAGAGTATAGATATCTACCCACAGCCTAAGTAGCTCCACCCAGTCGGGGAGCTCAACCGCGTTGCCAAACTCCGTACGCTAGGCGACGCTCAGCCAGGCGAATCAGCGGGACTCTGCGTGACCAAACGTCCCGCAAGGCTGACCAGTCCGAGCACTAGTGCGAATGACGTACGGACAGCGAGCAGTACCCCGTGGCCCGCCACGCTGAGCGTACCACTCACGAAGCTGCTGGGGCGAAAGGACCGCACACGGACGACGCTGCAGCTGCACCTGGCCACTACAAGCAGCTGCCGAACTACTCACTCCAGGACGACTCCCACTACGGCCACCCCGACAACCCCAAGTAGCATACCACTCACGAAGCTGCTGGGGCGTGAGGGACTCACGCGTACGTCGCTGGAGCTGCATCTAGCCAAGCCAGGAGCAGCAGTAGCAGTAGAAAGAGCAGAAGCAGCAAGAGCAGCAGTAACAGCAGTACGGGCAGGGCAGTGCTCACCAGTGGCGAGAAGGGCAGGCGTACGACGGCGGCAACAGCGAGGCCGCTACCACTGTAGGGCGAGGGCTCCGCGGCAGCTGTAGGGGCGGCTGCTCCACGGGCGGCAGCTCCTCCACGGGCGGCTGCTGCAGGGGCGGCTGCTGCAGGGGCGGCTGCTGCAGGGGTGGCTGCTCTAGGGGCGGCTGGTGCAGTGGCGGCTGCTCCAGGGGCTACTGCTACAGGGGCGGCTGCTTCAGGGGCGGCTGCTTCAGGGGCGGCTGCTGCAAGGGAGGCTGCTCCAAGGGCGGGTGCTGCAGTGGCGGCTGCTCTAGGGGCGGCTATTGCAGGGGAGGCTGCTTCAGGGGCGGCTGCTGCAGTGGTGGCTGCTCCAGGGGCGGCTGCTGCAGGGGCGGCTGCTGCAGGGGCGGCTGCTGCAGTGGCGGCTGCTCCAAGGGCGGCTGCTGCAGTGGGGGCTACTGGAATGGCGGCTGCTCCACGGGCGGCTGCTGCAGGGGCGGCTGCTGCAGGTGTGGCTGCTCCAGGGGCGGCTGCTCCAGGGGCGGCTGCTTCAGGGGGGGCTGCTCCAGGGGCGGCTGCTTTAGGAGCGGCTGCTCTAGGGGCGGTTGCTGCAGGGGAGGCTGCTCGAGGGGCGGCTGCTGCAGTGGCGGCTGCTCCAGGGGTGGCTAGTGCAGTGGCGGCTACTCCAGGGCACGGGCTAGGGCAGGGCGTCGCGGCGGGCAGCGGTGACGCCACGCAGGTTCCGAAGGGGCGTCGCGACGCACAGGAGCTGCGCCTCGCGGGTCCCGCAGGGGCGACGTGACGAGGCGGGGGCGACGTGGCGGGGCCGCGAAGGGCGACGGGGGGGGTCGCTACGGGCAACGGGGCGAGGCCGCGAAGGGGCTCGAAGGGCGATGGGGCGGGGTTGCTATGGGCAGCGGGGCGGGGCCGCGTAGGGGCCGCGGAGGGATCCACGAGGGGGCCGCGAGGGGGCCGTGAAGGGGCCAAGAATGGGCCGCGAAGGGGCCGTGAAGGGGCCACAAAGGGGCCGCGAAGGGGCCATGAAGGGGCCACGAAGGGGCCCGAAGGGGTCGTGAAGGGGCCATGAAGAGGCCACAAAGGTGCCACGAAGGGGCCGCGAAGGGAGGTCGCGAAGAGGCCACGAGGGGTCTGAAGGGGCCGCGAAGGGCCATGAGAGGGGCCGTGAGAGGCCATGAGAGGGGCCACTACGGGGCTGTAGGGGAGCGCGACGGGCCCCTAAGGGCAGGGGACGCGACGGGATAGTAGGCACACGGGGTGCAACTCGGGCAGGGGCGAAGCGCGCTCCGGGCAGGAAAAAAAATATCGATATTCGGTGGGCCCTAGGAAACGTTCCCACTAGGGAACCTATTTTATACCATGTGAGACATCAAGGATGAATGAACTAGCAAGCAGGTGGGTACAAGGAGGAAAACCTTAAAGTGTTATACCCCATATTGTCTACCCCACTATAGCCTACACAGACTATAGCATATGAGTTTGACAATCATGCCCTCGAAAATGCCATGTGGCATCTTTGTGGCCACTTGCAGCGGAAGATTCATCATCGCGTGGAGATAGCAAATAGTGGACGCGAGGAAATCTCGGCAGATTTGAACTGAAGGAACCTCGAAATTTCATTGAGGGAGGGATTTTCACGACGTGATGCATGCGGCTGCCCCCCATTTCCTGTGGACGTTTGAGGTTCAGTACGCCACGCATCAGCTCAACCTTCAGCCCCGGGTCTCCTTGCCAGAGACCTCCCACGCCTTGCTGTGGACGGGGAAGGTTGGCGATGCGTCTGCGTTTTGGGTCTGGGGATCTCGCGCGTTTGTCCGAGACTTGTCTGCGGACAAGCTATCCCCCCGTGCTGTTCCCTGCATCTTCCTTGACTTCCCCCCTGACGCGCATGGGTGGCAGTTTTACAACCCCACCTCGCGCCGTGTTCTCTCCTCCCAGAACGTCACCTTTGACGAGTCGGTGCCTTACTACCGTCTCTTCCCCTATCGCATTGCGCCCCTCCCCCCCCCCACCGCTCTTTCTTGCGCCAGGTCCTCCCCCGTCAAACCCCCTCCCCCCTCAGGGTCCTACCCCGTCAGGTGTGTCCCAGGTGGACGATGTCGAGCCTGTCGAGGTAGCTGTTGACTCTGGTGCTGCGAGAGGTGCTGAGCCTGCGGGTGCCGGGTCTGGGGGTACTGAGTCTAGGGGTGCTGAGACTGGGGGTGCTGAGTCTATGGGTGTTGAGCCAAAGGGGTGGTGGGTCTGGGGGTGCGGATCCTAGGGGTGCAGAGCCTGGGGGCGCTGGGTCTGCTCGTGTGGCCCCCTGCGGTGCCTCGACGAGGCGGGAGCCATTCTCTCCACAGGAGCCGCACGAGTGGTTTGCCCGCCGCTGGAGACGTGCTGCTCGAGCTGGAGGTGCTACTGCTACTGCTGGTCCCGGACGTGCTCATGCTGGCAGTCCTGGAGCTGCTGTGACTGGGGGTGCTGCTGGGGCTACTGGAGTTGGTCGTCCTGGAGCTGCTGGCGGTATAGGTGCTGCTGGAGCTAGTGCTACTAGGGGTGTTGGCGCTGGTGTTTCTACTGGCGTTGGTGCTGCTGAAGCTACTGGAGCTGACGATCCTACTTGAGCTGGTGCTGCTGGAGCTGGAGCTGCTGGAGCTGGAGGTGCTGGAGGTGTTAGCGCTGGCGGTGCTACTGGCGCTAGTGCTTCTGTAGGTGCTGGAGTTGATGCTGTTGGAGCTAGAGATGGTGCTGGCGCTGGTGCTGCCCCTGGGGATACTAGCGCTGTCCTTGCTGGTTCTGGAGGCGCTACGTGGCCGAGGCCATACTTTGTTCCGCTCGTGCAGCAAGTTCTTGGTCTCCCGCCCTCTACTGGTCCTACTCCTCCTTTAGAGTGTCCACAGCCTGTCGAGTCACAGTCACAGCTACAGCCCGCCTCCCCTCTACCTGCTCCTACTCCCTACACTGGTCCTACTAGAGGTCTTGCTGAGCGTCGTGAGCCTGCGTCCCCTGTTCGTGCTGCTCGCACTAGTGGTCTTACTGCGCGTCCGCGTCCGCCTGCGGTCCCAGGCACACACCAGATGGCACTGCGTCCTTCCACTACTCCTGTGCGTGTCCTGTTGTCGTCTCCTTCAGAGTCCTCTCTTCTTGTTCTTGCTGACACGGAGTCTGGCTCTCTTCGTGCTGCTAGTCCTTCGGTCACGTGTCTCCTTCCTACTATTGTCACTGACCCTTCCTTTGAGTCCACTACTACGTGTGCCCTAGTTGCTAAGCTTCTTGACTTCGCTTCTCGTTGTCGTCTAGACTATGCTGCTAGTCTCGTTGCTGAGTCTGGGTCTGTCTGTCCTCCCTCCGTCGGGGGTGAGTCTGCTCTTAGCACGGACGTCCTTGAGGACAGGCAGGAAGAGTTCCAGTGCTTTGCTGGTACTTTGCTTCATCTCATGTCCACGCTGATTGCCCCTGAGGGAGACCCGGATGCACCAGACATCCCGACTTCTCGATCGTACGCTGAGGCAATCGAGGGTCCCTACTTCTCTCAATGGCAATCGGCCATGGACGCAGAGATGGCTTCCTGGAAGTTGACAGGCACCTACGTTGACGAGGTTCCCCCACCTGGGGCGAACATCGTCAGAGGCATGTGGATCTTCAGGGTAAAGCGGCCGCCGGGTTCTCCGCCTGTCTTCAAGGCGCGTTACGTGGCTCGAGGATTCAGTCAGCGGCAGGGAGTTGACTACTTCTAGACCTTCTCTCCCACCCCGAAGATGACCACTCTTTGGGTGCTACTGCACATAGTCGCCCAGCGCGACTACGAGCTTCACTCTCTTGACATCAGCACGGCTTTCCTGCAGGGCACCTTGCACAAGGAGATCTGGCTGCGCCGCCCACCTGGCTTCACTGGGTCGTTTCCTCGTGGTACCTAGTGGAGCCTCTAGCGGCCAGTCTACGGTCTCTGCCAGGCGCCCCATGAGTGGCACGACACACTGAGGACTACACTTGCGGCTCTTGGGTTTGCTCCTACGGCCGACCCGTCGCTGTTTCTGCGCACCGACACCTCTTTGCCGCCGTTGTACATCCTCGTGTACGTCGACGACTTGGTCTTTGCCAATGCTGGCACTGCTAGACTCGCCCACGTGAAGTCCGAGCTGCAGAAGAGACACGTGCACAGACCTGGGTGAACAGCGTAGCTACCTTGGCTTGCAGATCACCCGAGACAACGCACAGCGTACCATTACCCTGAATCTGTCATACATGGTGGAGCAGGTCCTTCAGCGCTTCGGCTTCACGTACTCCTCGCCTCAGGCCACTCCTCTGTCTACTCGCCACTCGCTCTCATCTCTGCCTTCGGATGAGTCCGTAGAGCCGAGTGGCCCGTACCTAGAGCTTGTTGGCTGCCTCATGTACCTGATGACCTGCACACGACCTGACCTTGCATACCCTCATAGCATCTTAGCATGTTATGTTGCTCCTGGGAGACACCGACCAGAGCACATGGCTGCAGCGAAGAGGGTGTTGCGCTACTTGTGCAGTACGTCGGGCATGGGGCTAGTGCTTGGAGGGCGATGTCGAGTGGTCCTCACAGGTCACGCTGACGCTTCTTGGGCTGACGACCAGGCTCTGCAGGGGTCGTCACAGGGTTACACCTTCAGCCTTGGCTCTGGCTCTGTTTCGTGGCAGTCTACCCGCTTGTCTTCTGTTCTCAGCTCCAGTTGTGAGGCTGAGATCTACGCAGGGGCCATGGCTGCACAGGAGCTACGCTGGCTCACCTACCTGCTGACTGACCTAGGAGAGCCGCCTCGTTCTCCTCCAGTTCTGTACGTAGACAACAAGGCCATGTTGGCCTTGTGTCAAGAGCATAGACTAGAGCACAGAACGAAGCACTTTGCTCTCCGCTACTTCCTGGCTCGTGAGCTGCAGCAGCGTGGTCAGCTCCCCCTCACCTACGTGGCCTCTGAGGCCAACACTGCTGATATCTTCACCAAGGCCCTTCCGCCTTGTGATCATCAGCGCTTCTGTACTATGCTAGGTCTTGTGCCTACTTGGCCTCACTTGCTCACTTCTTGACCTTGCTTGTACTGTCCTCTTTCTATACCTGCACTTGCTTGTTTACCTTTTCATATATGATCCTGCATGTGAACTGGCCTTGTGGCCTTGCTCTTGTGCTCGTACTGTGTGGTGACGTTGTGATCCACCCTGAGCTTGCTTTGCTTTGCTTGACTTGTCTTGTGACCCCTTGTTCTCCCCCACTTTGCCGATGGGGGTGTGTCATTCATATATGCTATAGTCTGTGTAGGCTGTAGTGGAGCAATTCATATGGGGTCCAACACTTAAGGGTTTCCTACTTGTACTCCCCTCTCTGTTCAATGCATTCATTCTTGTTCTAAACTTCACAGACCCCACTGAGGACAGTTGGGTTGCAGAAGCTGATATGGGCAACGCACGCCATGCTCTCAAGGACTATCTTGTCGAGCAGGGTGTATCTCACGCCACCCAGCATTGAGGGGGGGACGTGTGAGAGTACGACGGCTCATGCCAGCTATGCTTGCTTGCCTTTATTTTATTATGCAATTTCTAGCATAGGATAATTATATGCATGCATGAATTGCTTGATTTCCTAGGCTAGGTGCTTTCCTATATTTTATTATAGTTATAGTATTGAGCTAGGTTACGTGCACTGAATTCTGGCTTTCGGTTGCCACCGAATTGCCTTCTACCGAATTTGTTAAGGATCTGTTCGGGACGCTACGCGGCCCGCGGAACCTTCGCGTAACACCTGGTTACGGGGCCTTATGTCGAGCCTATATATAG